AGCAGGAATTTGGCTGACTTGTGTAGCCACCTACATTCAAACAGCTACATTCAGGTGTCTGCAAACTGGAGCTGAATCCCACCTTTGCAGCTCAATGAAACTTCACCTGTGTCTCTAGTAAGATGATGAGGGAACTGGAGCATCTCTCCTATGAGGAAAGGCTGAGAAAGCTGGGACTGTTCAGCCTGGAGAAGAGAAGACTGAGAGGTGATCTGACCAGTGTGTATAAGTATCTGAAGGGAGGGTGTCGAGAGGATGGGGCCAGACTCTTCTCCGTGGTGCCCCAGTGACGGGACAAGAGGCAACGGGCAGAAACTGAACCACAGGAAGTTCCATCTGAACCTGAGAAAAAACTTCTTCACTGTGAGGGTAACTGAGCATTGGAACAGGTTGCCCAAAGAGGTAGTGGAGTCTCCTTCCCTGGAGATATTCAAAACGTGCCTGGATGCGATCAAGGGCAATGTGCTCTAGAGGTCCCTGCTTGAGCAGGGGGGTTGGACTAGATGATCTCCAGAGGTCCCTTCCAATCTCAACCATTCTGTGATTCTGTGTTTTGATTTTTAATTTTGCTTACTTCTGAGATACAAAGATCTTTCTTACAATCCAAGCAATCAAAAAAAAGTAAACCTTCACTTTATTTAAGTTGTTTCTGACAGAGCATTTTTTTAGCCTGTCTAATTTGACTTTGAATTTAGAGATCTTTCTTAGGAGGCTGTTGCTTTGATAACAAAATATTTTCTCAGATGCTGAAGAGCAGAACAGACCTATTTTAAAGTAGCTGTATTTTGCTCTTCATTTTAAGAATTCTCTCCTGTTCTCCATCACATGAAAAATGACTCTTTTTCCCCTTAAATTTTACAACGGACAACAGAGTTAACCTCAAATCAGTTAACCTTTATATCATCAGGCTTTGCTCATTAAATTTTGTGGCATTTATTTGAACTAACAAGATAGATGATGTGAAACTTCCAGGCTAAAAACTTTCTAGACATGTAAAGTATTTTAATAAGGAACAAAATATAAAATATAGTTCAATTATTTAAAATGAGAGGTTTTTAACTATTCATCGGACTTTTATCTTGGCAGAGAGGAGTTGCTGTGTTTTCCTTAATTTAATGTCAGCTCAAATTAGAGAGATTCATGCGAAGGCCATTTTCTTGGTGCAACTGATTCTCCCATTGATGAGTTATTGGGAACCATAAGACAAGTCATGAATAATCAAGACAGCAGTGAGATTTAAATTATTTCAAAAATATTACAGAAATAAAAATTGTTCATGCTGTTCTACTACCTACCATTCAGTGACCTCTTCCTGTTCAGGACATTGTTTCAAGAGATCACAACTAAACTCCTTAAAAGGTTTGATGAAAAGTATTCATAATGTCATTTTTTCTGATGATAGCAGTTAAGTCCTGAAGTTTAGAAAGACTTTAGCAACATGAAGAATTTGAGATTGCATGGTTACTATATATGCTTTAATACTGTATGGCTAGAAACCATGTAAGAAGTATTTCATAACTTCATCTGCACTATCTCCGTTCTATCCGAGAACGCAATTATATTTTATTCAAATGACTCACCTCAATTTCTTTCCTAAGCTTAGCATGTAATCTTTTTTCGTCTTCCAGCAAATCTGTTTTTTTATTGATGAACTCTTTCACTTCTGTGATTTCCCTTTTTAAAAATGTAATTTCTTCCTGCAAATGTAAGTTAGGATATAGAAATCCACTCTTTAAATGATTGTACAATACTTTTATGCATCTCATTTAAAGAGTCACATTTTAATAGTCACTTCATTAATAAAAACAAGATAGAAGTATAGTAATACACAATTCAGTAATTTGACTTAAAAATAATTTTTGAATATTAAGCAAATCATAGGAATTTAGGTTCTTAAGAAGATATACTATTGATCTGAAACGTGCCAACAACTATAACTGTACAGGAATTTTAACTCATTTTGGAGTTTTTAATGTTGTTTACTTTCAATTTATTGCAAAATCAAGAAACACTCATTGTAAGATTTGAGATGAATCTTTTTCTCATATGGAATTATAACGCTAATGAGTCTTTATTTGTCAGTGTTTAGAGATCTATTTGTACAACCAAATTTTCATCAATTTACTTGAACAGAGTAACATCAGATCTTCAGTAGCGAAAGCTGCTTCAGAGCCTGAATTTGTCACTCCAGCTCAACTTCATACATGTGTTTGCTTAAATGTTGGTAAAGTTTTGCTGTGAAAACTTTCTACATGTTACAGTTGTTAAAAATTAAGTACAAATTAAGTACAAATCGCAGTGTTAGAAACTAGAATATCAAAATTCATATGTTTTCCCCTGTCCTCCTTTCCGTTGCCCTCTTAACGAAATCTACTTCCTGCTGGCAAACAGCTCAACTGCATTTAGTTATCTGACAAAACCAAACGAATACTGTGTTCTTCTGTGTATGATTACAATATTGTTACACTTTTCGTATAAGAACACAGTATTCATTTAGCTTTGTCAGATAACTAAATTATCTGAAAAATTCTGAAAAGTGTATATGTAAGTTCATCTAACAACCCACAGAATCCCACAAATTATTGGCAATGACACATTTTAATTTACAGCTCTGTAATATTTTTCCAGAGCTGAGTTCATTATATCATGTAGGATGAACCTGACTTTCGGAATAATATGCAGATAAAAGTGGCTGATGGGTTTTTTTTAACCAAAGTCCTAATTTCTTCAGTTAATCTAGCATTGTAAACTAACCCATACTCCATATAGTCAGTCCATCATTAAGGTAAACATATTAGCCAAAGAAGCATGTTAGTTAAGCCATGCAAAAAGTATTTCACATAAAAGGAAAAGATTCAAAGAGGAAATACAGTACCTGTACTTGTTTAATAACAGATCCTTCCGGATTCTGGAGATCATGCATTAACTCTTCCTTCTTTGTCTTTAGCTCTTTAACAACAGCTTGCTTTTCTGCAAGTTCAATCATAACTGGCATTTTACTTTCCACTTCCCAGAAGAGATGTTTATGGGCCTTTATTTTTTCACGATATTCATTATTTCTTGCAAATGTCATCTCAAACTCTTCTTGTACTGTTTCTGCATCAAGTCTCAGCTTTATATTTTCAGAATACAGGGCTCTGACTTGTGCCTCCAGATTTTCACAATGATATTTTGTCATTTCTATGGCATCGTCTTGCTGATATATTTTCCTTTCTGTTGTCTTTGTTTCTAACAGAATAGACTCCATCTCTTTTTCAAGTTCCCTAAACTCAGCCTGTAAAATATTTCAGAATATTTTTATTTGAGGGGATATTATGTATCTAGTTAAACACTATAGTTTGTGTTTATTCATCTTCCTTTTCATTTGCTTAATGTGGTCTGAATGGAAGATGATTAAGACATCATGCAAGAATACTATCTTAGATATGTCCTTTTTGATATAAGGGATAAGTCTCAAATATGACATAAAGGATCCTTCAAAATACTTTTAACTTGCTCATATCCACAAGATATGGAGGCTGTGCTATACCACATCCACACCAGTCTTCTTAATCTTTGTTTAGAGCAGGGGTCTGCTTTAATTTAAATCATACTAAAAAATAGCTAACTGCACAAAGTGTACTTATAAACACACACACAAACAGATTGAATAGCATTCAGGTTGACTGAGCTTCAGTAGTCTTTTCTATTGCAAGTGAGATTAATCTCAGCTATTTTTAACCCTCTAAGAGTTAAGCATCTAGTCACCTATGCTTCCTCAGTCATCAGAAGCAGACACCTCCAGGTAGTGTTTCATCCCATCATAAGAGGTCTAGGATAGGAGAGCTGAAATGCCATCTCAAAAGTGCTTCTCTCTCTTTGTGAACTACAGAGGGAGCCTAGATGACAAATTTAGGCTTAACATCTGCCTTGCAGATGACATAAATTAGCTTTGATGAAACCCACCCTAAGTACCAGCCAACAGTAACACATTAAGTGAGATTAGTATCTGATTTATTTCAACCATTATATTTTCCCTGCTGGGAGCATTATGAGACTTATGAAGTTTCTTGTTGAATATCTTGAACAGAGTAAGACTTACATTAACCTTTAAGAATAAAAAGTATCCTTTATGCATAATGTTTAATTTTGAAACCTTGAGTTACAATTTTAGCAGAATTTGTATCAGTGCTCACCACCATCTGAGGACAGGTAAGCAAAATGTCTTAATAGCAAAGATCTCAAATTTTCAAAAGAAAATTGTTTCACATGCCTCCTGTGACATGTACATGTAGGAACAGACTTAAAGATGGAAAAGCAGTCCTGCATTCTGACTTTTATGTTCCTAACTGTTTAAGTTCACTGGTCTAGTAACATTAATGTTTGTGTGAAATTTCCTAAGCTTTTTTTTTTTTTGAAAAAAGAAAGAAAACATGCAAGAGAGGAAGAAAGGAAATGAGCAACCTTAAGAGTCTAGGATTCTGAAGTTCTGTGGGTTTTTGAAAACAGAAACTGTTTAAATTGTTCAATTATAAATTAATTGCTGCAACATATCGTACTATGACATCTTAAATTTCTTTCAGAATGGTTCTTGAAAGGTGTGGCCAGTTAATTCATAGGGAATAAGGTATTTCACTGCTTCTTAAGAGAAATTATCTTTGTCCAAAATTTCAAACCTCAGTTATCTCAGATGCAGCATTATTTGGAAAAGTTACATCAAAAAAACAGTATCTCCCTTTCCATCTTCACATTTTTAAAAGTGCCTGAACGCTACTGTGGTTTTCCACCAACGTAAATGTATGTCTCCTAGTAGAAACTTGGTCTGAAACACTCAAAGAGTAATTGAAAGTTTAATAATGTTTGTAAGAGATTGTAATAGAAATGATTACATAGCCTTAAGGAAAACACATGTGACCAGTGTTCCCTAAACTATTAGAAAATAAAAACTATATTTAACGGCTGTTTAAGATGCATTCATTCCAAACCCATAGAGAAAAAAATGTTTTTCTCGTGAAAACAATGCTAAGAAAAACCAATATAATCTAGTGAAAACCTGCCAAATTTTGAACTCCATTTTTTTCCCATTCATTTCTTAGGAAATCATCATGAAAAATTCAAAGACTTCTAAGTTTGTCCCAAACATTTTAGAGGGTGCTATTTCAGTGAGTTTTTTTTTTTCAACATAAAAAATGAAAGCTTATGCTAAAGCCTGCTATAATAAAGTTTTAGATTTGGTGTAGACTTATGTATGATGATACACATACACAGTTTTGGCAAAGCTTAAACGCCACTCACAAAAAGAGAGTAGCTGCCTGAAATTTAAACGCAAACATCCATAAGAAACAATGTATGATAAGCATCTCTTGCTCATAAGAATAACTTGCAACACATTGATTAGATGAGGAAGTAAACTATTCTAAGGAAGGCTTATTACCTGCAACTGGAAAAGAACTATTTTGCTCTTTTCTATCTCTGACGATTGTGAATGCTGCTGCTCTGCAACTTGTTTTACAACTTCAATTAGTGATGGAGAATTTTGTTTGGCCATTTTACACAAAAGGGTAGAACTGTAAAAATATGGAAGTGAATTGTTTTATCATAGTTTAATTCCTTACTGTTAGCGACAGAGAGCAATATTAAGGACTTTTGTATGAGAGCCTGGATCAATACATAATTTCATTTGATTCACTTGTTATTGTCAAGAACAGATCACTAATGACTGGACACTTGAAGACAATGATTGACAATCAAAACTCTTTCTTGCAGTGTTTTTTAAAATAAAGTATTACAACACTCTCCTCGCTGCTCCACAGGACAGATCCTAAGTTTGTGAATACAGTCGTAGCTCTAAGAACATCTTCTTCCCTCAGCCCAAACACTTACAATACAATTGCTGCTGTCATGCTGTAACTGCCTGTTAACTATTCAACCATCTTCAATGTAAGATACAAAATAAATGAAAATTGTTCAAAAACTGATTGAAAACAACTCACAGAAAATAACTGAAAGTTGTCACATCAAAACCATCACAAATTGATGCTATTGTGGAGATCACCTAGTGGTTAGAAGTATTTAGTACTGTGTTTGTATCACTTCAAACAGAAGTTAATGACGAAATCTGTATTGTCACAGAAGGTGGCACTGCTTTCTCAGGAACACGTTCATGAGACTGATGCCTATCTTCAAGACCGATATAAAACTAACTGGCCCAGAAATGACCCACGAACTGTCTCTGAAAGGTGGTACTATTAGTCAGGAAACCTGATTCATCCTTTTGTGTTTAGGGCTGTCGCTCCTGCTGTCCTGCCATTCCTCATTTCTCCCCTCGACGCTGTTTTCCAAGCCCCCGGGGAGCAGCACCTTCCCCCCTGAGCAGGCAGGCCTGCCCGGCCCCAGACAAGGCCGCGTCGCTGTCAGTCTCTAGCTGCGCGGCGCAGCAGAGGGAAGCAGCACGCTAAGCTCAGCTCCCTGTGGTGCACATCAAACACCCGCCAACGGTCGGGCAACGGCCGCCAACGGCCGCCCAGGGGGCGGGG